TCTTCTTATCATCGTTTACTTCCGATGAACTTGAAACGAAACGTTCCCCAGGCGTAAGGAAAGTGGCCGCTCCTTTGCCTCGGCTGGGTTCTCCACGAAAATCATGCTATTCGGCGATTCATGTGTATAGCGCCATGAAGAGAACGGGCTCCATTGTCGTGGGCCCAAAGCCGACAAAGGCATGCGGTAGGTGGAGCTGAATTCTCTTTGATAAAGTAGATTGATTAGTGCTGGATAAAACTGACGAGATCTATTACAGTCAATTGTCGTAGGTTGAAGGTGAAATTGCAGCGACTGTCAACCAGAATGGGCCAATTGTACTGACGGCCTTCAAGATGAAATGTGAAGTCGACGGGGCTCCTCCATGTCGTCGCTGTCGTCATACGAACGCTCCATGTATCTTCAAGCCTAGATCAAATGTACTGATCGCATTTGCCTCAGTGCTTCCCTGGAAAGTCTGAGGAGATTCCATTGCATACTGACACCCTCTAGGCTGCAGCGGTCCAATCAATAGCTGAACGGTCACAGAGTGTGCAGGGCACGCTCGTGTATCATCCTTCGTCTCCCGATCAGGATTCCTCGTCTATCCTCGGGCGTCTGGAGCGGATCGAGTCACTGCTAGGCATTGGTAAAGAGGGAAACAGGTCCTCATTGCTGACCATCGACTCCGATCTGGAGGAAGAGTCTGACGATGTGTCTTCCCGTGGACTTTGGAAAGCTGTTGAGCGTCTTAAGATCATCACCAGTCCGCCTCAGGATCAGAATATCTGGTCATATTCGATCGTCACCCGTTTATGGATCTCGTATGTAGCTCATCCTTTGTTTACCTTCTCCCTTCTCAGTGTGCAAACTGACTCAAATCTAGATTTCTGAACAACCTTCCATTACTTCATTTTGTTCAGGATCAAAGTGTCTTGGTCTCCCCTTCACCACTCTTGCTTGCCTCGGTTCTCTACATATCGGCCGTGCATAGCCCTCTACCGGAGCTTGCTTCGTTAGCAGGTGGGTATTTCGCAGCTACATGCAGTGCGATTTCCGAGCTTGTCGTTCCAAGCGCACGGCCTGGCACCTCTGGCTGGACCAGAAGCCATGTCTCCTCATCCTCAAAGGACGAGCATACGGTGTTTCAGGATATTCTCGGCCTTATTATGGCCAGCCTAAGTTGCGAGGCGTACATTGAAACTACAGACAAGTGGATAGCCCTCGCGTACCGACTTCTACTTGACCACTGCCCTTCCAACCTGGAAGACGCAACATATGATTGGCGTCGTCTTTTCTCTGGCATTCAGGTACTTTGCAGCGTCCTTTGTTTGATCAGGCTACGTTCTAATGTCTCTAGGTAATCGACATAGAGCATGCCTCCATGCACATGTGCTATCCCCTTCTTCCCAGACAGCCACCCATACCGGCTCTGCAACACTTGGATAGCCAACATGACAGTGCATTTCGCGGCCTCTCGCAGATGATGCACCAAGGCCTTAACCATTTCGTAGGCCGGAAGCTCCCCACTATATGGTCCTTCGTTAGTGCAAGGGATTCGGATGCCTTGCCCTCGGTTGGCACGCCTTTCACAGAAATGGATTCTCAAGTCATTCGACTGTGGGCCAAGAAACTTGATGAGTGGCTGGTTCAATACAACGGAGCGTCGCGTAAGTCATTTTCCTTGCTGGACAGAACTAGCGATGGATGTAGCCAACACTAACGTATCGTGCTTGTGTCCACAGAGCCCTCCCCGTCCGACCGTCAAGGTATCCTTATCCTCTTGCAGTACCATCTCCACAAGCTGTACGTTTTATCAATCTACCATCCAGCTCGTGGCTTCGACCTGGGCTCTGCGAACATCACCCCGAGCGAACGGCAGGAGCTTCTGATGTCGGCGCGCGCTGTCCTGCGATTGCGGCAGGATGATTCGAGCATCTGGTCGAACTGGGATCTGATTGTAAGCATGTCCTCACCTCCCTTCTTGGGGCAAGTTAACAAATCTAGATGATAACCTGGGCAGCTATGCTCCTGCTACGCGGGGTCGAGGACGGAATGACACATCACGATGGTACGGTGCGATCAGCCAGGCGTTGAAATCGTATTCTAACACTACATGTTGCAGATCTCCGTCTGATCCAAACCCAGCTGAGCACCTTGAAACGGAGCGATCCGTCTACACTAAGCATCCACGGCGTCCTTGCAGAACGGCTCCAGTCAGGAATACAGAGCATGCACACCCCGCCGGACAATGGACCTGATTTTGCGTTCCCGGCGCCGAATATGGATTATTCGTGGACGATCTTTGATCAGCAGATCATGAATCTAGCCAATCCGCCTTGGCTTTTTGATGACTCTTCCCTAGCGCCGCCATAAAAGCCGGTCGAACAATATCGGTGACAGCGGCATCCAACCGTCGGTGGTATGGCAAGCTCTGTTCCTCTGAGCGGTTACTTGAAAGGTTCTGGACCCCACAAGCTAAGGACAAAGCTGAACATAGCAGTTGGAGAGATCTGTAAAAAGATTATACATTGATCGTGCAGTACACCAAGTGTGTAGCTGGTTGTTCTTCTTGAGAACTGGGTATAAGGTAACTGATCGTTAATCATATCATAATGTACAATTCAGGCTCAATGCTATGGAATTGGCCCGTTTGAATATAAGCGTTTCCAGCCGCATTCTTTCTGACTCACTGCTGCCACTAGTCCTGGCATTTCTTAGTTTCGAGCTCAAGCGGGTCAGACAGTTCCTGCAGCAAGCGGATTAATCTTCTCCACTTGACCCGTGAGAAGCGTTATCTCCATGGCTGTGGGACGAATTTGGCTGACCAGCAGCTCTCGAGGCGCTGCTCAGGACTTCGGTAGGTGTTCTCGGGGACATAGAAAGGTCTTCGGACGCGCCAGTGGCTGATAGAGACGAGGGTAGTGGGGGGAAAGGTTCGGTTTGGGAGGAATTCGTAGGCGGTCGCCAGTCGGACTCGCGACGTAAGACCACTTCACGGGTAGGTGAAAGAGTACGGGCTTCATTTGACTCTACGAGGGTGTAATCCGGGGATGTAAAAGGGAGATCCGAGACACCAGGCGTAGATTGTGTATAAGATGACGGTGAAGGCTACATTCCGGGTGAGCAAGAGCGGTTCAAACTAATGGCGACTGGCATACCTTGTCTTTGCTTTGATCGAGGCCACGACTTGCAGCCAATTTTCGTGCAGCAGCCCGTCTCCGAGCTACGTCTATTTCTTCCTCTAGCTCTGCTTGCTCCTCTTCTTTTCTCAGATCCACCAAGGACGCTGTGCGGTAATCACGAGTATGCTCTTTGTTAGGACTCTGGGATTCTCGTAACCGACTCTTTTTCTTTTTGGACTCCCTCGAAGCTGAAGTCCTGAAACTAAAGGTTCCGGACATGGACCGTTTAATCCCTGCAACTTTGTAGCTCAATTGATCGTCCGAGTCTAGTCCTGTTCCTCGGCGACTGACCCACGCCAATGCAAATTCGTCATCTAGAGGAACTGCATCTTCCTCCTCGTCGCTAGGGATCAAATCCCCTCTCGAGCTCAAGGAGTTTACGGTCTCACGGGATGTCTGCGTAGCACTGCGGTACCGCCCATTCTTGCTGGAGGAGTCCTGCTCCTCCGTTTCTTCAGCGGACTCCATGAGGGGCTCATCCTCTGGCACATGCCGGCGCAGCCCCGTAGGATGTTCCTGGAGATCCGCAGCGGATGGTCGGTATTTCAGCCCTCGCGCCCCCAGTCTCCAAGGAAAACGCTCCAAGAACCCCAGAAAGGACGAGCTTGGAATAACAGTCGGATCATTTCGATTATCTGGTACCAAAACACTGCTCTTGCGCCTCGTGCCTCGAGTACCGTAACTCATTTTACGCTGTCTGCGTGGCTGTTCGGCGCCCCCGCGCGTCAAGCCGCTCCCCGCCAGCAGCCTGTCGAGCTCGTCCGTGCCCCATCCAAGCAAGCTGTCGTTGGCATCATCATTATCCCAATCATCGTAAAAGTCAAAGCTGGCTTCCGCACGTCCCCGTCTTCGACGTCGAAGATGGTCCTCCCGACTGGGAAGACAGGGGGCCGTACATGCGTGGATGCAGTTTCCAATCGAAGAGAGACAAGGTAGGATATAGTGGTGCGAAAATGTGTAGAGTCCCTCCTGCGCCGTCTCGTTCGCAGTTTCCAAGTTGTGGGAGATCTGGTTGATCGTCTGGCGGACCCGAGGGTCTCTGGGTCGCATCATCTTGATGATAAGGTATCCCGTTTGGGTATGACGATCAGGCAACGGCGGAGATTTTGAGATGCTTCAGTCTGTCCCAAAAGAATCACATTGAAGTGAATCGATGGAACGAATGATATCGGCAAGTTGGTGGCTTGATCGTCAGCCCCATCGATATGTCCATACGACGTGTAGATAGAATGCGATAGTTTGTTGGGATGTGGTGTGCCTCACTGCCTCAGGAATGAGGGCCCGCCTCCACTCTGCGATGTCATTTCCGCACTTGGCGGTTTAGTCAGCGGCGCGTGCCATCAGTAACTAACTAACTGACTAGTTTATCTATCGCCCATATCAGTAAACATTTACCAGATCTAACTCCCTAGGGTCGTCAATCAATTGTCCGTCTTTGACTTGAAAATGGTATATTACATTCGTTTTCTTAAGACCCCTAGATTTCAGAGTCAAAAAGCGGGGCTCGTCACTGTAACTGCGCTCATATGCATCACCACCGATCTAGGAGATGCATTTCTAGCACAAGATATCGATTTGCAGGTGACATTGAGTTCCAATGGCTCAGACGGGATCCTGTATAAGGACAGCCTACAGTGGAAAGCAGGAAGACGCGAGCTTCCGCTATCCTTAGGTCCATTTTCCGCCAGACTATCTCAGGAGGCTATCGTGCTAGGTGTAACCGCAATTGACCCTCAACGGACGAGCCCGCCTGGTTCAGATCATCTGCTCGACACCTCTAAACTCCCTCTAGTCATATCAGGGTGGAGCGCACCGTTTGGAGGGTCAGAGTCTCTTATGGCTGAGAAGCTTGTCGAACGACGCTTCCGCCCAAAGGATCAGTTGGATCTCCGGATATGGGAGGAGACCGGCAACAGCATTGCCCGGCACATCTGGTGAGGCCTCTAAATCCCTATCTGGTTATCGTTCTAAGAAGACATATATTGCGTCCGCAGGGATGCAGCTATCGCATCGGTTATATACCTTGAGCAAGCGATCACTAAGACTCCAGGGTCTGCCGCACCTCTGCTCGAGAGCCTGTTACAAGGCCAAGGCAGCACCCCTCTTCACGCCATTGAATTGGGGTCTGGCTGCGGTATTGTGGGTATAGCGCTAGCAGAGCTCCTCCCGCATTGCTCGGTTCTACTTACAGATCTTGATGAAGTTGAGGAGATTGTTATGAAAAACATAGCCGTCGCAAGGCCAGCTCCATCGTCCCGGGTCAGATATCAACCACTTGATTGGGATGAAAAGCTGCCTGACGATTTATGTGACGGCCACATTGACCTCATTCTTGTCTCGGATTGCACGTACAACGCGGACAGCCTGCCGGCGCTGGTCAATGTGCTGGACCGTCTGGTCCAGATGTCGCCTGACGCTGTAGTCCTGGTGGCTTTAAAGAGACGACATGATAGTGAAGTGGTCTTTTTCAGCCTGATGGACTCGGTTAATCTTTTCAGTCTGCATAAGGACACCATGCAACTTCCGTCTCAACATGGCCAGTTTGACGAGGTTGAGCTGTACTGCTATGGACGAAAGGACAGACAGTACTCTCACCACTGCAAGCCCATCATGGCGAGCTGAAAGATACTTCCTTTTCCGTGATAAATTACGTGGTCAAACGAGCAACAAGAAATCTTGCCTACCTCGCGGCGAACGCGTCAGCCGGGAGGCAAACCCGGCATATTGTATGCCGACTCTGGCCAGCTTCTGGACACACGTGCCTGGATGGCTCGTTTCGGGGTGGTTCCGCCAAATTTATGCCGTCTTTCTTAGTTGACGCTGCCGCAAATTACTGGTCCAAGCAAGCAGACAATCCCACGTATACGGTTTTGTGCTGAACGTGGTATTTACCTCTTCTTCACTTGACAAGGCGAATTCTGGACGACAGAACTGTTGAAGAATTTCCGGGTCGGCTCCTTACAAGAAGTCGCATTGGGCCACAAAAGCGACGACGGAACTCTTGGATTAGACTAGTAATAGTCAGATTCGCCCAACCGTATGAGTGCGGCACAGCGTCCGCGCAATATTCAAATTGGACATTCATTTCGTGATTTTCAATTATTCTGTTTGAGACCTGCTGTTGTTGTTCTATACCAGCGCCTGAGTACTGTAATTTAACACGTCATTTTGCAATCTGCCCTCTTCCAGCCGTGCAATCTGCTCAACAAAGACAGCCAAGCTGACAGGAGTCTCAAATGGAAGACTTAGTGCCTGGATCGAGAACGATACTTGGATCCTGTTTCTCCAACGCGTCGTCGAGAACTGGATCGGTTCCAGGATCGTGCGTACTCGGACCGCTTCCGTCGCGACACGCGCGGTGCTGTCCCTCGGCTAGTGACGCCCATAATCTCACGATCAACGTTCGAACTGTTTTCCTGTTGCTGTTGCTCATCGTTCGACGGGAAGTCTCCCTCTTCATTCGGAGGGTTGGATGACATTGCGTAACTGAGGTGCACAACTTGTGGATCAATACTATTAACGGTATGCGACAACCGAGCTGAGATGGTCTAGAGGAGATTTGTCGCTTGCGTATCCTTTGGAGGCCCTGGGATCTGATATATCGAGCGCCAGCCGGGTTTTGGACCGAGAGTGCCACAGTAGAGGATTTGGATCATTATGACGATTCTGCGATGCAATGACGGAAGATCATACCTCCCATTCAATGAAGTCATATTGTTGATGCTCGCGATCCCGATCAGGGAAGCTTCTTCAACTTCTGCTTTGCTGTTTCAAGTCGTCCTTTGTTAATCCGCAAGTGATGCCGTCTTGTTAGTGGCCTTTCTTGGATGGCCCATCCGTCACCAGATACCACTCTAATATGGTTCTTATGACTGTAAGCGCACGCAGAGCTCGACCTCGGTTTGGCGTAGAGGGCCGTCGAATGGGATAGAGTTGGAAGAGCCGCTTCTCGAGATGGTCCTCAGTCAAGCGTACAAGATCTGCGCTTCATCAAGAGATTTGGCTCCTCGAAATGGTCACACCTGTTGTTCTCATTGACAAACGGGGAGACACTTGGATCTCGCAGAGTTGTTCTGCAAACATGGCAGTAAGCACCATACGGGTGGCTTGGTAAATACTTTGCATGGCGACGCCTCTCAATCACTGTATCCTGAAAGGACCATGTCCTTACCATCGGACATCCCCAACGGCTTGGAACCTTCAAACCCCAACCAAGTGCACTGGGCTGATACTGATTACTGATCACTTCAATTCAACGTGCTCTAGTTCCTTGGCATTTATCGAATTGTTGAGACTGTGAAGCTGATCTGTTCAAGTACACTATACGGCCAAGCCATGCGGCTTGCAGTGAGACGCGACTAGAAGGCACTATCATCATCAGCATGTTTCATCTCGCATCGCACTTCCTCATTGAGATAGAAACAAAGAAGAAAATTGTCATTTTGCCAGCTTTCTTTGGCTGTGTCCTGGACTCCTGATGTAGCGGTCGGATGCATGATTCCGTGCTTTCGGGGATTGAAAATGCCTCCTCGAACGAGCATCAGAGTGGCCAGCAGCGTAGAGATATTCAGATGGTCATGGAGAGAGGAAGCCGCGGCCTGGACTTGCTGGAAAGTCTGTATACGAGCGTCTACATCAGAGAGCATGAAGTACTTCGTATACGGTATAGCATCAATGGGCACAGCCTCGGCAGTCCCGCTGACAATGACTCAGCAGCATATGCGGAGTGGTAACTAACTATCAAATGCCACGACACTCAAATACTACTCACGTTTGACGAACTATATAAAGAGACTTATCTGCTTCTGGATTTACAAGACAGAGCCGTAACGGACTGCGTTACCTGGACTGCACAGCATGGCCGCCCCCAAGATTACACTCTACTTCGACGTCGTGAGCCCGTTCGCTCATATAGCGTTCCATGTATTGAAAGTGAGTGATAGCATGCTCGCATCCGACGTCTTAGAGGCTGCTAGTAACATTTTCGAAGCACTCTCCCACATTTGCCGAGTGCGATATTACATATGTGCCCATTTTCCTAGGTGGGTTGATGAAGGCATGCGAGAATACTCCACCCATCCGGATCAAAAGTAAGTCAGTTTCCAGGGAGGTTTCATGCTCAGCCCAATACCTAACGGTGTCCTCCAGATAAGGCGCAATGGATCAACCAAGAACGGCGCCGCTGGGCCCGATACTTCTCCGTTCCCATTGTTGAACAAACGCCGGCAGGCTTTCCGTCCCTAACTGTGGCCCCGCAGCGTGCTCTGTGCGCCATCTCGCAAAAGGCGCCGGAACGCTTTGTCCCCGCTGTCGAGGCGCTCTTTCAGTCCTACTGGGTCGAAGGGAATAGCCAGATCGGACAACCTGAGGGATTCGGCCCCGTCCTGGAGAAAGTGCTCGGCAAAGATAGCGCAGAGCAGATCCTCAAGGCTGTATGTTGATTGTTGTTATTGCGTTTCGTATTGCTGGCTTTACTGACCGTCGGTAACAGATGAGCCAAGACGAGGCCAAATCGCTCTTGTCGGCTAACACAGATCGCGCATTCAAGTCCGGTGCCTTTGGGCTTCCCTGGTTCGAGTGCACCAACTCCAAGGGTGAGACAGAAGGGTTCTGGGGGATCGACCATCTGGGCCAAATCGCCGAGTTCTTGGGATTGGATCGCAGCCTGGACAAAGGTTTCCGGGCGGTGCTGTAGCGTGTGATATGATGTCTAGTTTGTCGCTTTTGGGTCGTTTCAGTGGTCATTTCGCAGTTCGCGATACTGCTTGCCATTGGTATCGTAGCTAGGCGGATCGTCAATTGAATGTATGTACATCGATTTGCTCAGATAAGGCCAAGCCTCCGCAATGTCATTGCTGCTTCGAAGGCTGCACCGCATCGCTCTTGTGCTTTTCCTGCAGAAACTCGGCGATTCGCTCCTTGGGCAGCTCATCAATCCTGCGAGCTTCTTGAGGATCGCAGTCTGTCTCGTATCAGCCCATGAACCAATTTATCAATCAATAACTAAGTGAACAAACCCTCAACCCCCGTACCCGTACTCTCCTCCGCCTGTTTACTCCCCATCGTGATCGAGTACGCCGTATCCCGAACCTCCCGCACAACATCCTCGGCTGAAACCGCACCAGCTTTATTTCTGATTTCGGCCATGGTCGTCCCAGCCATGTTGCTGATGTGATTCCCCAGGTCAGCGAGGGAACTCGTTGTCGTCGAGTACATATCCGCAGTGCTGGTGCTAGACCCCGTTGCCCGAGTCCCGGCCCGCCCTTGTTCCTCCGCCTGCTGCATCCTGGATTCCATTTCCGGGGGTTGTTGCGTATCGTGCGTGGAATCTGAATTGGGATCCATTCTGGCAATCTAGTGATTTAAACAATTCAATCTAAATCAATGGCAAACTTTTTGGCTGTTGTGTGGTGGGTGTATAACTGTATATGAATATGAAATGAAGGCTTCATATGGGTCCACGGCCGAGCCGATGACATCAACCGCGCAGAAGTTCCAGGATATCATCATGTCATGATTTCAGCCTTATGGATCCCCCCTGGAACGATAGCCGAGTTAGCTCAGTGGAGTCAGAGTATTTTGTGTGTCTCTTATTCGCCGGTTTGGAATTTGTTCAGCAAGCAAGTACGTACTCCTGTCGTTGGCCCATGTCCTTTTGTCGCTGGTTGACTGGGCTGAAGTCATACAGCATACTGGTATTGATTAGGCAGCATAATTTTCAGTCATGCAGAAAGATGTCGTTCTTTGTGATATTCTAGTTGTAATCAGCTGGTCCATATTGTTGAATAGTAAGTGCACAGTTCTACATATATATATATCTTCCTCCAATTGGAATCTGGGACCAAAGAACTACGCATCTAAACCCAACAGTCAGCTATATAATTTTGTACTCATGCGTGAGGCAGTTAACTTCGCTAGGGCGATGTTATGCTATGAAGACATACAGACGTCGTATTCCAGTAGACTTCGTGGAGAATATATACATTGGAAAGATTCAACCACAATCATCAAGACAGTACTATAAGGATGACAGAAGGGAACTAAGAAAAGAAACTTTGATTCGCGCGTATGCCAACGCTTTGTCCCAGCCGTCTTCCAACCCTGCTCTCCTCGCCTCAAACAGCCACCATCCGGCCAGTGTCCTGGCCGGTGACGGAGATCCAACACGGCTCGCCGCTTAAGCGTTGAACAATGCAGGACCAGGAATAGGGTATCCACCGCTCAGACTCGAGTAGATGTCAAACTTGATGCCAGGATCAGTATTCTTGTACAGGGACGTGCCAGCGGTGCCAGATCCCTGAGCACTGCCGCCACCGGTGATCTTGATGTTGAAGCACTGGGGGTAGTTCTGAGCGCCGTTCAGGTTACCCGCAGAGTGAAGGCCGATGATCTCGTGGCGAAGGACGTAGTTTCCGGGGGCATAGGAGGCAGGAATGGTCACCGTCGCCGTGTTGTTGTTGGCGATCATTTCATCGTCAGCCCATTTACCAGGTGGGTTGGAGCCGTCGACCAAGCCTTCAGCGGCGATCTTGACGAACTTCAAGGTGGTCTTGTCCACGGTGGCACAGTCGCCGTTGCACGGAGCGAGGTAGGTAATCAACTATACCCTGTTAGCCTACCTGGTCACAATATGTTCTCTTCTCTTCGACACGTACCGGTCCATGGTGAGACTCTGGCCACGTCGTCCACTGAAATTCGATCTGTGAACCAGCCGCAACGGTTGCGGTCAACTTGCCATTCTTTGCGTTCTTGTGGCAGATAATATCCGGAGACTGGTAGCCCGTGCCGTCCACAAAGCCGAGGTCGGTGGCGGTGGTGGACCAGGCAATAGTGTCTGGCGGGTTGCTCATGTAGGGGTACTGGTTAACAAGGTACCCTCCGTAGCTGGAATAGGTGTTAGCTGTTGTATCTGTCATTGTGTGGTTCAAGCACATACTATTTCCCATCAGCAACAATGCCAGAAACGAAGCCGTGGCCCGCCACGAGAGATGCTGAGGCCAGAAGGCCAGCAATGGAAGCGATCTTGGACAAAACCATGCTGTCTGATAGTAGAAGGTAAAATTCACACAACAAGTTGAAGCAGCAGCAGCCAATGATTAAAGGCCTGCTTGATCAGGGGCGTCTGGAGGAAGAAGCGGTTGGGTTGAGCACAGAGAACAGAACAGATTACAGCAACGAGCGACTTCTCAGGTCCTTTTATACCCATTCTGAAGAGCTTCGACCCCTGTAATTATCAACAGTGCATGGTAACCAGAAACCCCCCCACCCCTGGAAAGTGTCCTGGCGGGCAGCCGGCATAACTGAAGAAATTATCCATCCCTCTGATACAAGGGCTCCTGAATCACCAGATTCGCTTCTTCATCTTCGGCAGATAGCAACGCTACGAGTAATCCCGGCGCCAATGGCTGCATGCATGCATGGGTGCCATGAATCATTGGCGCTCCACAACCTTGCAATCCGGAAATGTTCCCTGACGCCGGCCTCTTTGGCCTCTGAATGCATGTACCGTGCAGCCACAGTCCCTGCCCTGGTCTTTTCTCAGACCTTGATGCTGGAACCGTCCAGGAACATGAGATGCATCAGCATCTTTCTCCTTCAATCACAGTGGATATAGCGCCGTAATCTAGTGGGTACCCTCGACACACCGAGTATCACGGCTCAGCAGCAGCGAAACCCGAACACAGACCGCATAGTGATCCATCTATCTTCACAATGCACAATACGCCAGACCATCGCGACAGACTGAGACTCCTGGTCATCCGACTGACTAGTACGACATCCAGATGTTTCTCTTTGATGAAGAAGAGGCGTTGGGCATGCCGCACAGAGTACAGCCAAGCGCTCCCTGTATGGAAAGCGACGATCCCCCAGGTTTTGCCGGACACACGGGCCGACGGCAATATACGAGCCTCTGGCACTTTTGCCTTGGGATCCGTGCCTGAAACGGTTACGTCGCAGTTTCTTTTGCTGTGTTGGGCCTCTCAGGCGGCTCAGACCGAGAGCAGGGAGGGTACTCCATATATAAGTGGCCTCGTCTGCTAGTGATTTGCCGTGCCTTGAAGAGAAATGATTAGCGTTCGATGTCCCAACTATTGTTTTGATTCGAGGATGCTTACTTTCACTGGCAGGCTCCTGAGCTTCTACTTCGAAATCAAGCTCGAGTTGTCCCCCCATCGATATCACACACGACCGCTCGAGTAAGTGCATAATTGATTCATCACCTGATGCCAGTTACCGTGCAGACAAAATCCTTATGCGGAGCCTTCATGGCCGCCAGTCAGCCATGATGATCGTCGCCTTTCCTGACTCGCTGAAATGAGAGGGAGGCATTGGAGCCGAGGGGTTCATGTTTCATCAAACCTTTGCCAAGACATAATATAGCCTAAGTCAGTCCATGGCTGATACAACATACTGAAGATTGTGGGACGTGGACAATAAACCCGATACTGGAGGAAATGTGAAGATCCAATGAGAAGCGATGTTTCTGGCTGAATTCTAGTCAACCTGTGGTCTGCAACAAGGCGGGACTTGGAATCCAGTCATTACTCAGGATCCCTAGAGGCCAAGTAGATACGCACAGGTCAGACGTCGCACGAAGTCTCGACAACCGTCAGCTTTGTACCGGATGCCCTCCGAGTCCCGTACTCATACGGCTTTAGATAATAATGCCAAGTGCTCCATCGTCTGCTCTGAGGAGGCAGCGCAGTATTATGTCCACCCTAAAGTGACTGCGTCTAATAGGCGTGCACGCCAGAGAAAGAATTAAAGCTATCCTACATCATATGGCTGAAATCTACAAAGTACACCGGATTGAAATATTGTGTTCCATCCATGGCGACACATGTCACAATCCATGTGTAAAACTACTCGTTTCAGCATGACCGGGACGCGGAAAATATGTAAGAATTTTCAACTGTTTTTCTCCATTAAGTTAGCCCAGGGAGCTCCGACAAAGCAGCCCCTGGTGGTAGGTGCAGGTAGGTAGGTCGTCTGGCTGATGTGAAAATGCCATCTGCCCTGACGTTTCGACGTGTTCAATAACAGTCGCGAAGAAAAACAAGTTCACCGCATAAGCTGAATTGTCATTCTAATGTCGGCCCACAGAAGTTCATGCCCATGCCGATTCGCTTTTGGTAGTTGTTTCCTGCATTGACCAAGCTCAAATCACCCTTTCCCCATCGACTGAATGTATTTACAGAGCCTTCTTCTTGTCACCCTTGGACACATCGACAACCTTGAGAGCTGTTGCAAGATGTAGCGTTAGCTTTGATATCCCGAGCAGAAACGCGGCTTGTTTTCCCATTCCGCTCATCACTTCTATCACTGGACACTATTCCCAAAAACAGTGATCCGTGACTGGGGCAACTTGGAAAGGAACTTAGGTTGGCAACGCACCTGGGGGCAGGCTCTGCTTGAGCTTGTCGGCCTTGTCGGAGTCCTTCAGGACAAGGGTGTAAATGAAGCGGTGGCATCTGACCTTGAACTTGATCTGCTGGGTCGAGCGGTTGCGCTTGATGCGGGCAGCTGTAGAAGAGAAAACAATTGTTAGCATCCATGCAATTCCATCCTTAATCCTTCCACGGGAGCTGAATCCGAGCTTATTCACATCGCTCTACTCCGTAAAACCGGGGAAATCGTGTGCGGGAAACGTACAGGAAGCATCCTTGCGGCGGCAGATCTCGATGAACTGCTTGATATCGGAAACTTCGCGAGGCATGGTGGGCAGGGGTTATGGACGCAAACCGGGTGATCTGAAGAAAGTCGGAGCGAGGGAATGGTGTGCAATCACTTTCACGGAGTCTCAACGCGGGCGGCTGCGGACACTTGAGGCAATTGTGTGGAATCTGGCAGATTAGGGTTTAGCCGGTCGGAAACCCTTGGCTGCTGCGCCACTCAGCCTCTCCTCTCAGCCTCTCCTCCTCTTGTGGCTGGTGCTGTCTCCACTGCCATGGCGGCACAGTCCCAGGCGCATTGTTGTCGGTAACTCTGGATGCATCTCTGTAAATCGGGTTGGGGTGATGGATCACTGATGCAGCATCCGCTTGACTTGGTCCAAAGTCATATCGAACGGGTGCAGTTGTGTGAGGAACATCTCCGAGCTCCGCGCCATTTCTGCTCCTCGGATCTCTCTTGGAAAGATGGACTCGGAGTCTGTTTCGCTTCCAGAAGGCAACCCTGAGCATTGGAGATGAGCATCACCGTCATATATGGGATACGATACTGCCCCCTACAATTTGACTGAATTGCTGAGAAAGATGATCATAAATGTAAGGACACTGAAAGCTAGACCTGCCTGCAACAGTGTATCGAACTATTCAAACGCGGGATCGTAAAGGCGATTGCTGCCCTTGGGCGGCGGAGGCATGATGATGATGATGATGATGATGATGATGATGATGATGGAAACAGCAGAGTAACGTAGAGGTATTTCTGATGTAGGAATAGGCGAAACGTCCGAGTATGAGAGAGCGTGGCTTGATAACAGTAGGTAACGGTAAAGATTCTATGACTGCACAGAGGGAACGAACAGGGATAAGTGAGATGTATTAAGAAATTCATCTTCAAAGAAGACGGACTGCAGCCGTAAGGTACTATATCTAGAGTTGCTCTTTCCTACTCAAGCCACAAGTAAAACTACAGGGCAGCTTGAGTAAAATCGCAACAATGGGTAGAAGCCTCAGTTCATTCTATATTCAATCTATAGAATTCAGGAAATAATATAGCAAGCGCAAGCCGAGGAGATTGGATGCCTGAGGTGATATCCCCAGAATGTGGCGTTGGTTCTGCAAGTGGCGGTGCAAAGGTCTAGGCGGCAGCTTTCCGACCATGACGATGGAAGCTTGACTCGTAGCTCCCGTGCGAAACCATCATATAACAGCAGAAGACAATATCAAATACCAACAACCGACCTCGCAGACGTGTTCTCGCCCAAAAAAACCGAAACTTGGAAAAATGCCCACAGCCTTAGACCGAGCAATGAGTTCCAAAGTGAGCATACCCCAGTCTGCTGCATTCAGCCGCATCTCAACTTAGTGGTAACTTGCTGACACATATCCAGAATCTTGTCCTGGGTAACTTCTCCTGGCGCGCACGCATTGAATCAACACGGATCAAACTGATAGGATGTAGGTTTCGCCGGGCTGGTCACAGCTGCCGCAGCGTGGGCAATCTGGGGCAGCGACATGTTCCCGTCCGAGCCAGACCCAACTGGAGGTATGCAATTCGGGGCCATTGCCATACCGGAATAGAAGGCTGACTGTGTGACTCTGAGAAGATCCTGAATACTGGACTGCGGACGAGATGCGGAGATGGCTTCGCAATGTACGTTCCGCTCCTCTCATCAAGGATGTACCAACTAACTGGCGGCGATCTGCAGAGAGCTCTCCTGCCCACTGAACAGGCCACACGCGACGAATTACTCGAGCGTGTCAAAGCGAATCTGCGCGTACCGCCGAGATCAACGACCTGAGTTTTATGAGACACACGAGTGTTGTGTTTGAATCAGTTTCTGTATTTTCATGGCGTTCTCTTTGTACTCATTTCGTTATTCAAACCAGCAGAGATACCTAGTGCGCGCGCCTTCTATGGATGAATAGGCGATAATCGTGTTATGAGGGATTTATCGAAAAAGTTGATGTGTCGGACGTAAGCACATTGCCTCTTCGGAGTATGCGGTAATCAAACGACAAGTCGAAAGTTTTGTGTTTGAATAAGCCATTCTCTCCGGCGTTTTCCTTTGGGGGCATCCGCTGTAGGATTCGGTACCAGAATGAAGGTTTCGCTGAAGCCACGCTGCGGTAGATCTCTGGACTCCCCAAATCGTACATAGCCACTTACTACCACCAATATTGACATGTCCTTGACAGTCGTCTGATTGGGGAGCTTCACGCCGGATGTTGTTGGCGTGGGGTACGTTGGATTGATGACCTGACAATCGAACGACTGCACCTCGTAATGAGCAGGGGGCATCTGGTTGACGAAAATTTCTTGGACGGCATTGCCATCCGCGACAGCGTTTCCGTTGAATAGGATCGTAGAGGTGGGCTGGCCGTAAAATGAAGCGATTGCGGCGCGATTGGACTGAAGCGCGGGGTAGAAGGATTGGACAAATTCAGTAGCAGCTGGAAAGACACAGTCAGAAAGGAACGACAATGTTGGCAGGGCCCAACACACCATCAGTTGACACTCTTGTGAGCACATCTTCACTTCGAGTAGTCATTTTGGCGACAGATTAAGCTGGATGTAGATCCCGCGAGCTCCGGTCGATGATGGAATATGCGACAACAATTTCGTGTATGACAGCGAGACGCGCGACACAAACGTTAACAACACAGTATTGAAGCTTCTAGAGGGACTGTAAATGTTCAAGTCCCCCAATAGATTGGGTTGAGGAATGAGACCGACGTTAACAACTGCAAAGGTGGAAATTGCAGGTTGTGTATTGGAGAACGGACTGACGAGGGAAAAAAAGTTACGGAGGAGCTAGGACCACCCGGAGATTATCGAGCTCCGAGAAGTCACCCAGCATGAGAATTGTCTTCCATAAACAACTTCGCCTTTCCGTGTCACTATTGCTTCCCAATGGCTTTTTCTAAGGGGAGACTCCGTACGCTTTCATGGGCCAGTCAATTTGTAGCCCATAGGCGTCCATTGCGGAGATGTGCTCCGTGCAGAAGTCCTACTCAGGCCATTTCGGCGCGCCGATTCGCGACAGCGACTTCCGAGCAAAGCTTGAAGAAGCCGTACTATGTGACGACTCCAATATTCTATGTGAATGCCGGTACGAGCCTCTATCAACTCTATGCGGACCCCAGCGTCGAATCTGTACTGATGGGATCGATTTTCTGAAAGCCCCCCATGTTGGTCATTTCTATACTATGGTGATCACCGATATTCTGAAGAGATGGCGGGTACTTCTTGGAGACAAGGATGCTCAACTGTTGACCGGAACCGACGAACATGGAATGAAGGTATCTTTTGGTGCTCGATCTGGGGCTGTCTCCCGCGGTTAACTTGGTGAAATAGATTCAGCAGGCCGCGAGCGCGGCAGGCATGGACCCTCAAGCCTTTTGTGATATGAACTGCAAAACCTTTCAGGTCGGTCGCCTCTTTTTGCAACTCTTACGAGAACCTCTACTTAAATTTGCGATAATGTGTTTCAGGCGCTAGCAAAAGCCGCAAATGTTGACTACGATCATTTCATACGAACGACCGACCCGGCGCACAAGGAGGCTGTTCAATACTTCTGGGTTCGTTGGAAATGCTGCTAGCTATTTGCTCCGCATGCTGACTATGGGAAAGGAAATGCTGAACCACCGGGGCTATATTTACACTGCAAAGCACGAGGGATGGTATTCTGTCAGCGACGAAACGTTCTATCCGCCAACACAAGTGCAGAACTCCTTAGATCCCTCTACTGGAAGGAAGAGAATGGTATTTGGTCCTAGAAGCCGAATGTTATCAGGTGTACAATCGCTCACTATGCCAGGTTTCAGTTGAGACAGGAAAAGAGGTAGAATGGTCCTCGGAAACCAACTATCACTTCAGACTGTCTGCCTTCCAGGAGCGGCTTCTGGAGTTGTACAAGAGTACAGAGTTCGTCACGCCTGGTAACTATATGGCAGACCTCGTCAAGTCAGTCTCCTCGGGACTATCAGATTTGTCGATCTCTAGGCCTGTAGAGCGATTGACCTGGGGCATTCCTGTACCAGGTGATGAGACACAAACGATCTATGTCTGGCTAGACGCCCTTATCAACTATTTGACTAAGGCTGGGTACCCTTTTCCTCCTGGTCAGGAGGGCCGACTAGGTTGGCCAGCCGATGTGCACGTCATCGGCAAGGATATTGTTCGGTAAGTTATTCATCCGCATGACGGGCGGGACGAAAGATTGACAGCCGTGTCAGTTTCCATTGCGTCTACTGGCCCGCCTTCCTCATGGCATTGGATTTGCCCCTACCTCGTAGGGTCCTCATTCATGGTCACTGGACCATCAACCGGGAAAAGATGTCGAAATCCACCGGGAATGTGGTGAATCCCTTTTTCGCGATTGATCGATTTGGCGTCGACACCATGCGTTTCTTCCTTGCTTTCCAAGGTGGACTAGCGGGGGATGCCGACTATGACAACTCCTACATTATCCGTGATTACAAGAAGCTGCTCCAATGGGGCATTGGAAACCTAACCCACCGTACAATTGGTTGTGCAAAGGGTAACCTGCGCTCGTACATTGCGGACGCAGCCGCCGACAAGCTGCCCGCGCCGACGCCCGAAGATCTGGAGCATCAATCGCTTCTGGAGCAGACACCTGAGAGAGTGGCGGAACAAATGGAAAAGTTAAACCCCCGTGCCGCTTTGCAGGGCATCATGGTGATCATCGAGAAGGTCAGTGTTGAGAGTCCATATCACAACGGCTAGACACGATTATCTCAGACTGACATCGCTTTTGTTATCCTTAATCGCAGACAAACAAGTATTTCCACGCGGCAGAGCCATGGAAAACTCCAGCCGAGTCGCAGCGAGTGTTATACAACGTCGCCGAGTCCCTACGAATTTCCGGTATCCTATTGCAACCTTTTATGCCCAGTAAGTCTAACGAACTTCTCGATATTCTCCGTGTAGACAAGACAGAGCCATCGAAACGGAGCTTTTCGGCTGCACGCTACGGTTGTGATCCGGACTACGGTGAGGGTGTCAAAAAGAGTATTCTTTTCCCGCCTCTCATTATTGAAGAATGATGAGAAAATGAGTTTTCGTTTGATAAGAAGAAAAGGATCACAGTCCAATCATACAGAAAGATGATGAGTCTCTGCTTCTCCGCCAATGCAAGGGTTAAGTAAGACACTTTTCCGTTACTTGCCAGTGGAGCTGGGTTGCAGGACTACACGATCATCGCCATGTATAGATGAGACAAGGTTTGTGTTATGTCATGGCGTATGGCTTCTGGATCCTCCTACGCTTGTCCACAAGGTTATCAACGGGAAAAAGCGCTGGATTCCCGAACGCCTTGTGGACGGAAAACCCTGGCCCTTTCCCGCGGCAAACCTCCTATCATAGTAATCGGGAAGTATGCCCTAATGTATATCAGAAGCACTGGTGTTTTGGAGTCATATAGTTCATGGATAAGCAGGAATTGGTTTGTATTATTTCTCTCATGTTCTATCTTGGCTTCTAATTTCCAGTGTGATACTAGAACTCTCTTTTTTCCCCGACTTTTTTGCCTTCCGTGATACCTCATATACTCTGCTCTGTTTTATACTATTACCATCCCAACTTACGAATTGGACTGTGTACAATACTTGTCAATTGTGCTCTTCTGTCTTTTCCCTGGTCCCTTGAGCAGAAGTGCATCCCCCCTCTTACACCATGGGCAGCATCTCACCTGAAGAAGCGAAGCTGAGCTTCAAGATGCCATGGGTTGAGACTCCCCTTGTGGAATCCGCCTGTCTGTCTCGTGCGGCAGGCTGTAGGATCTTCTTGAAACTCGAGAACATTCAGCCCAGCGGATCCTTCAAATCCCGTGCAATGGGCAACCAGATCCTCTCGCACCTCGTCAAGCCGGAAAACGCTGGCCGGCCGGTGCATTTCTATGCTTCCTCGGGGGGCAATGCCGGCCTCGCTGCCGTCTGCGCTGCCAGGAGCTTGGGTTATCCTTGCACCGTGGTTGTGCCTGTCTCGACAAAGCCCCTGATGGTGAACAAACTGCGTGCGGCGGGCGCTTCGGACGTCATCCAGTACGGCGAGACATTCTCTGAAGCCGGAGAGTACATGCGTGAAGTGATTATGAAGGCTGATGACGGAGACGCCGGGAAGGATGTGGTCAAGATTGCCCTCCATCCCTTCGACAATGAGCCCATCTGGGAGGGAAACAGCACGATCATCGATGAGCTCGCGGCTCAGCTGCCGCCCGTAACAACCCGAGAAGAAGCTATCGCCTACAATGGTCGTGCTTTGCCACTGGACACGGTGATTTGCAGTGTTGGTGGCGGCGGACTGCTTAATGGTCTTATCATGGGCCTAGAGCGACGGAGACATTTACAAAAACAGAGCTCACACTACAGCAACGGCATCACATCCTCTCAACCAAACCCCATCCACATACTCGCCGTCGAAACCCAAGGCACAGATTCCCTTGCCCTCGCTGTCGCCCAGAAATCCCTCGTCTCCCTCCCCAAGATCACATCCCAAGCTACCTCGCTAGGCGCCATCCGCGTCTCGGAACGTACATTTAAATACGCCATCTCCCCTCCACCCGGCATTGCTGTGCACACTGCTGTCCTCTCAGATGCCGATGCCGCTCGGGGCGTGCTCCGTCTCGCGGATGATGAAAGACTGCTGGTGGAGTTGGCATGCGGTGTCTGCGTCGAGGCAGCCATCGGCGATGCGGCCAAGGCACGCGCCTCGGGATCAGCAAGCACACATTTGTCAGCCGAGCAGGCAGCCCTGACAGGGAAGAAGCGGAAGAGGACACAGACGGAGTTCTCCCAGAGGGATGAAGGGTACGGCGATGACCGACTGTCGTCCGGAGAAACCGAAACGGAGTCGGAAGAGACGGGCAGCCAGCCTCAAGCACACCCTACCGAAAATACGCTGTCGCCGTCGCTGTCGCCATCGCACGAGTTCCAATCGAAGCTGAACCAATTGGTCCCTAACCTGCAACCGGATAGTCGAGTGGTGATCATCGTCTGCGGAGGCAGCAATGTCACCATCGACATGGCGGCAGACTGGAGGAAGATGTTACAGGAGGGTTGGGGCGCTTAAACCAGTTCTTCCCACAAAACAGATACAATATTCCCCTTAATAACGGATGCGTTCATGCTATGGCTATGGGACTTGGATTTATTGGAGTACTTGGGATCGTTTTACAAGTTAGAATGGAGGATTTGTGTAGTTGACGCTGAAAATGACTGCTACTGAGGCCATTTACGGCCTCGTTTACACCCCCTCTGTCTTTGATTCACAGAGTAGGATAGGATTAATGAATGCCTTAATATGGATTTCTTTTTTGGGAGTTGAAACTGCGGACGTGATACCGACTTGCCCAATTGTGCTCTTTTTCTCTCTCCGTCTTTTGCCGTTCTTTCTCTACTCTTCTCGTTCTCTTCTTTCGTCTATTCGCTTATTTCCTCATTATCCAAATCTATACAGTTTGATTATCCCGATCAAGCACCCAACTGCGTCGCACATCAACGGGAGCACAACATGAAAACCAGGTGCGTAGTACAGCTGGGCTCGCTCCAGCAACTATGGAGGCCCTCTGTGTCCTCCGTCGCAGCCATCTTCAAATAAGGCAGGCCTAGGCCAGGTTCAACATACTTTGGGTCGTTAGATAGCTTAGGCCTTTGGATGCTATACATTGTTCTGTTTCAGGTAGATCGATTTTTTCTGAGAATTATGCAATAGATAAACAGCTTCTTGTGTACTTCGATTGTCTCCCAGACACACTATCAGTGCCCTTGCTTACGTATCAGACAGACTTTCTGGTCCTAAACGCTGTAAATTCCTCGGGAAACATAACACAATACCAAAGACCGCTGTAGAATCACAAACTATGTACATGGAAAACCAAGAATATTTGAACACAGATAGGTAGAAGTAATACAAAGAATCGTATTCGAACTATTGCAGAAAACATCTCAGATCAAGCGGACACAAATACCTCCGTAGCATGTGTCGCAGACGCCATGATCTGCCGGATTCGATACTCCCAGTAGTTCCTCCGGATAGGGTCGTACTTCTCTTTGAGAAGAGTGAGCATTTTGACTGCCTCGGCTGCACTGCCTTCCTCGCTTTGGTCTTCCTCCGCGTAGACGTCCGCTAACCACTCAATAGCGTGGCTACTTTTGACCGCAACATCCACCACCTGACCGTTCTCCTGCTTTTCGACCACGAATCTCCGGGCAAAATCCTTCCACTCTGAAAGGGGTCTGCCGGCTGCCTGGAGTACTCCGCGCGCGTACGACCATGGACTGCGGTTCTCGGGAGCTTCGAGTATCCTAGTCTGCGAGTACTGCAGCTCAGAGTCGACCAGATCCTCGTCGACAACTGGCAGGCGGCCTTTTTCCGAGGATGGCCCCGTAGTATTGTGTAGACCGGCATCAAACTCGTTTTCATCACGCGGTCCAAAGCGGAGCATGTACCGATGGTTCCAGGCGGAGTTGTTCCGGACGTCAGATCTCAGGAGCGCCTCCACATCCTGAATCTCGCGCGGATAATCCCAGAGTTTGAAATGTCGGACGAGCCAGTGGCGGTATGTCCAGACGTGATAGTTCTTAGCGTCCTGGGCAAACATCTCCATCAGAAAGTCCTGCTCTCTGGGCGGAAGAGTTGGAAAATGAGCCCGCGAAGACATGAGAACTTGGCGGTGGTGCCTGTTGAAGTGTGTCAGACGGATGGAATGCAAGTTGTAATAGAACAGAATACTTACCATATCTGGTAGTTCTTGAGATGCTTCAGAGCGACTTTATTGAGCCATTCAATCTCCTCATTGAGATCTTTTCCTAGGGCGAAAAGAATCTTAGCCCGGTATATCCTACACAAAAGATATTAGTCACTTTGACGCCGTTTTAAGGCGGCGAGGACTGTAGTCTGATCTTACCAAACAGTGTAATGCGCTGGGTTCATGGAGATGATGTCTCCTGTCAGTCTCAGCGCTCGCTCAGACATTTCGTTGGCGGCCATTACAGCTCGCAGGTAAGAAGTGGCCTCGAGATATTCCGGGGAATAGGAAATGGTGGCCAACGGCATGGTGCCGGACTCGCTGCCATCATTGAGCTCAATGGGCTTGATAGATGCCCACTCTGGATCGGACGAGTATTTTCCCTCCATGCTGGGACGGAATAATGATTGGTGTTAATTTGAGCAACTGTCAAGAAGGAATTCCCCGGAATCAAGCTCCAAAACACCCTGACAATATTAGAGGTTTGCTTTAATGCGGAAGCATGCGAAGTAGTCGATCCGTAAAGGGCCGTGTTGATCTTGCTTGGAGAAGAGCGATGGTGCTATGCTCACAGTGTCCACAGTCTGTTCCCACAAAAAATGTAGGTTCCCCCTCGTCAGAGATTTGGTGACCAAGCAATTGCTTCCAGATCGCCAGGGTCTATAATCGTATTTAAAAGGCAGATGTAACAACAAGTAGAAATGATCACAGTGAAGAGGGCGGTGCGGAGTACGGATAGTAAGGAGGAAATTCCTCAAAAGCACGATAAGATAATCGAGTGGGGTTGTGGCAGCCTCAGGCGGCCATCCCGAACAATATCAAGACAACAATATCAAACATCCTTCCTTTCTTCCTCTCTGCTTTCCTCATCCACAGCCACGAACCGTCTGCTCATTCTTCTTTGTTCCAACCATTTAGATTTGAAGTATACATATACAGAAATAGGTCATGTCAAGCGACTTGCCATGGGGCTCTCGAGGCCGGTAAGAACAACGAGCTTTCATCCTACTTCGTGGTCATGTACGTTTCTGGTAGCTGAGGTGAAAGAGATCCTCCACGCGGCGCTGAGCGGCGGCGTCTCTATGCTTTGGATGCCTTATCTGCTTTCGCAGCAGTCTTCATGCATGTCTTGATGCGAACGCCGTTGTTTGTGGCAGTAGCGATGCTGACCTGTTCCTTGTTTGACCAGTTCAAAGGGTTTCATCATGAAGCTAATCCAACCATAGAGACTCGTGCCACCTCCCGACAGCAGAAGATCAACGAATCGACATGGATAGTCCTGAGAAGCTCCATGATTCATATACTTCCCGGATAGCCTTCAACTTGCCCCAAACAGGCAAACGTCCCAGCCGGTTTCTAATTGGACGCCGCCTGCTGATAAGCTCAGGGTTTCCCCGCACGCTCTCGGCATCTATTATCTTGTCCAGATGACTTGCTTCTACTTTGAGCGGTGATGGGGAGTTTCAAGTTTCTTCCAACATCTCTCGATGACAGCCTATCTGCTTTATTGTTGTCTCAGTCGATGAGATTGAATCGTTATGCGACGAGTCAAAAAGTCCCGCAACGGTTGTGCTAGGTGTAAGAGCAAAAGGGTGAGTGTATCCTCAACATATGCCCGTCACGTAGAGCCTCGACTCTTGACTGCGATAATGTATTAGGGTCACTGAACGTGGTGATAGGTCAAATGTGGGGAAGAAAAACCACACTGTAGCCGATGTATCCGTCTGGGGGTTAAGTGCCCCGGATATGTTCAATCTTTGCGCTGGGTGACCAAGTTTCAAGAGCCCGACAATGATCAAACGAGCATCTCTGAAGCATCCGCATCCAGATCAATTCGATCCTCAGATCGGCGGCCGTCAGCTTCAACCAAATCGCCGGTCTTCATCAATTCATTGCCGCAGGTTCCGTTGGCCTTGGATAGTAGCAACTTGAATTCGAACCGTCCACATGAACCATCTGAAACAGAAGTATTGGAAGCGAATGGCGGAAGTGTCTTGTGTGATAATCTATGGGATCTCCAGAGCACAGGCTCTCTTCCTGAGTTGACAGATCTTTGCCCTCCATCGCCAGCGTCAGCATCGCCTCCGATATCAGTGCCACGACGGGAGAGCTCCGTACTTGACTTCGGAACGCCAACGAATCTCACAAGCTTCTTTTCATCAGCAGGATCAGCGCTTCAGCATAATTCTCATCATTTTTCCGAGTTCTCGCCTTCGACGATCATCCGCACGTATTCCTCGTCCCATCCAAAGCCGCCTTTGCACGATTTCACCTCGATTCCTCAAACGTTGAACAATCCCTCTTGGACTTTGATTGAATATTACTTCAAAGAGGTAGCCGCTCTGTTCTCTAGCTATGATAGTCAGATGAACCCATTCCGGTCGACTGTATCACGTCTCTGGGGCTCCTCTCTGGCCATGTGCAAGACTATGCAAAGCATGGCAGCAGCCACCCTGGTGAACGATTTTCCAGAATTCGGCCCCTTGGGACAACGCATGCGCAACGAAGCAGTAGAGATCATTTTCAAGGAGACTACCATGGACGACAAGTCCCTGTTGGCTCTGCTTATGCTGGGCCAGACCGCTAGTTGGCACGATTCAAAAGATTTAGGCGTCTCCTTTTTCAACCTCCTTCGCAAGCATCTGGACGTCAAGGCCGCCGAAACTGCAAGCCATAATCGCGGTAATAACCACCAATTCTTCGAGGAGGCTCTCGTCTACTGGGAGATGCTTCTGTCGTTTGTCGCAGACGACTCGGCCGTGTTGTCTGGGAAATCTGCCTCGGGAATCGGTGAATCAGTCGTCCTACAGCGAGTGCCCCATCCTTGGACGGGGATTGCCCGCGATACCCAGTTCACCGTACAAGAAGTAGGAAGGTTAATTCGCGCAGAGAGGAAGAGAGTTCGAGCCAGGAACTTCACCTCTCAGGCAGACATCGACCGAGCGCAGATGGCCATTACGAGGGCTCGAGAGCTGGAAGAAAGGCTACTTGGCCTCGCTCATCCCACGGAGGGTGAAATCGTCAGTCCTGGCGACGAGGAGACACCAGTTTGGCATCTTCTCACCATGGCTGAGGTGTACCGCTGTACAGGCCTCCTGCAGCTGTATAGAGTTTTCCCCGATCTACTTCGTCATCGACTCCCTTCCAATGAGGCATTGACTTCGCAGACAGACCAACAATCGTCCGCTACTGCTCCACGCGACCCTTTCTTCTGCTTGGACCCCGACTTAAATCTCGAGGGCATGGCCTGGTTCTCCGACTGTCCATTCACACAGCCAGAAAGCAATGTGCCATCAGAGCCAGCAGCATCAAGCACAACCCACTCTGATTCTTATTACAGCAGCTGGTTGACAGAATTTGCACTCACCACTCTGTCCCGCCTCAAGACCATTCCTCTCGAATCCCGTACCAGATGTCTCCAACCATTTCTGCTCGTCGCATCAAGTAGCGAACTTCGCCTGCCACGTGTAACGCCGACGGAAATCCCTCTAGACGTAGATGGGCCCCATCTCTCATCGCATGCCATCGAGGTTTCCAGGACGCGCCGCTTCGTTCTCGGACGGTTGACCTCCTTCATGCATGTCCTGCCTCCGAAGCCGATCAGCGTCTGCCTTCAACTTGTGCAAGAGGTGTGGAGACGAATGGATGCGGGGGACAGCAACGTATACTGGATGGATGTCATGATTGAGAAGGGCTGGGAGACGACAATGGGTTGACAGCCTTGGGACATGGGGGCCGCACCGCCCTGTGATACCAGATTAACCATAATTATACGGCGTTTTGGACTCATTGCACCATTGGATGTGCTTGTATAACTATAAATTATAGCAATTCATGGCTATCTCATGCAATCCCCTGGACTATGGTTGTATAGATATGTAAGTTCGTTCAGCGCTCAATCCTCGACGTTAACGCTCCCATGACTTCTCAAACAAGCACACGCAACTCAAACATAAAGTGACGCGGAAGAAGAGAGAGATGAAAAAGGAAGAAGCACCATGCAAGAAAAGAGCAGGCACCATCATAACGAGTACTGAAATATGATACAAGAACGAAGATAAAGATATTGCGGAATGAGAATAGTTAGAGAAAAGCGCTGGTGAAAGGCATATCATGCAAAGGTCTTCTGGCGCATACTGGGGGAAAGAGCCGAAAAATTTTAGAAAGGGAAAAAAAAAAAAAAAAAAAAAAAAAAAAAAGGGATGCAGAGTGTCCGAGGGCATCATGAGAAACGAGGCGACCGTTTCCAGAATTTCCATCCTTCCCGCTTCTCCTGGACGCCGACGCCCACGAGACGCTCGATGCCCTCGGTGCCGACTGCGTTCTCGAACTTCTGCTGGTCAATCTCCTCGCCACCTTCTTCGTCGGTGCCGTTGCGAAGCACAGCCGGCCAGAGGACACCGATGCCGTCGCCTCCCAATGTCGTCTCGTACTTGACGAATCCTTCGGCGTTAAGCTTCTCTTCGAGCTCGCGGACAGCCTCCTCTTTGGTGTCCGGACGGAGAAGAGTGATTGCGCACCCGCCGCCTCCAGCACCGGTCAACTTTGTCCATCCAATGTCGGCGTAGTCGACAAGCTCGCGGATTCGTTCCAAGCGGGGATGCGAGACACCCAGCGATACGAGGAAGCCATGGTTGATGCGGATCAGGGTACCTAGGTCTTCCAGAGTCCGTTCTGAGATACCATTGGTGCTGATTTCCTGGATCTTCTGTTGCGCCGCTAGGGTCACCTGGTCGATCGCCTCCAGAATAGAGTCGGCCACGACCGGGTGCTCATCCTTCAGCTTGCCCACCTTGGCCACTTCGACGGCGGTTGAGCGGGATTGTCGTGTGTCGACGAGTAAGAGAGGTAGTTCGGGGAAGTTAAGTAGCGGAGTGACAGTCGGTGGTTTGGAGTAGTCCTCCCGACGGAACACCACGGCCTTGCCGCCTGCGGAGACCGTGTTGTCCACACCACTGGGGTTCCCGTGCGTGCACATCTCCCCGACAAACGCCCAGCGATTGATGCGCTCGATTTGCACTTCCGCCTCATCGGGAGGTTGGTCGGGATGGGGACCAGCGAGGGTGCGAATCTGGAGCAGTAGCGCAGCGCTCAGACAGACGCAGACGCTGGCGCTGCTGCCGAGACCTGCGCCGATGGGGATGGTGGATCGGAGGGTGTAGATGGCTCCGGGGTTCTGCGACGAACCGAGGGAAAGGAACAGGTAGAGGAACGCGGACGCGGATCGGCGATGAATCTTGCGCACATCCTCTGGTTTTTCCGGGGACACGGCATCGGCATGGGGCTGGATTGCGGCGACGAGTTCCGGATCGAGGGAGGTGACCAGGTCGTAGTAGAACTTCTTTTTGGACGGGTGGTGGAACACGTCCCACGGCAGCTCGTCAATGTTCCACGTATGGTCCAAACCGATATCCCGAAAATTCATTGTAATTGTCCTCTGCGATTTGGACAGCGTTGTGACGAGAAGATAGGACCGGAGGGAAATGGCCGCAGCCATGGCTGCCTTGCCGTGGACAACGGCATGCTCGCCATAGACGATAACCTTGCCTGGCGCAGACACCATAAAGGCCGGAGCCATTGGCGATGAGGGCTTTCTCGACATACTTCTTTTCGTGCTGTCTGTGCGGTTGATAGTGGTCTTCAAGGTGGATTCGGTCGTGGAAGGAGTCGTGGATGCGCCGCCGTCAGAACTGTCCTGGCTGTCGTCGTTGCTGACAATCGAGACCTTGGGTCGTGCGGCGAGGGGCTGGTCTGACAATATATTGGACACTGTACCACGTTGGGTACCCTTGCTGGTCTTGATGCTGCCGTTCGTTCGGCGTCCTCGAGGGTTGCCCATTCGAGCTATCGGCGATGCGACGAGAAAGGGGGGTCCCGAGAGGAAGGATTATGACAAAAGAGGATTAAAGGGGATTACCGACTAGAAGGATATTCGCGTGCACAACGTAAAAACAATTACTATTAGTAGAGAAATTAGTCCAATGGATTAGAATGAGAACGAAGGGAGGGTAAGAATTAACGAGAGCAGTTCAATTGGCGATGAGCGATAAAAACATCCCAGCGTACTTTATTTTTATCATTTATTTTTATCATTTATCTATGTATCGAGGGGTACAGCACTAGATACGGTAATAACGGAAAACAAACCGGAAAACAGACCGTGCGCTGTGGCCCAATAACACGCAGGCAAATTGTCATTTGTTACCTCCAAACTAAGTAGATTGTACACTGGAAATCGACTTTTTGATGACTTTTGAGAATGAGAATAATAGTAACTGGTTTCCTTTCATTTCTTCTTCTTGTCAGAATCTCGCTGCTGTCAGCTTCTGTCAAAGAATATTGTTTTTTTCTTCTTTCTGTGATGCTGACATGCATGTGTAATGTGATTACACTAAGATTACGAGACCAAACACGCCTCGTCCTTCAGCTGTGCTGACACCAGCCTCCCTCTCTTCTAAGCCCTTTCGGTCAAGATAATATTAGTAAAATTTGGAAGAGGTTTGACAAACCAGTCATCTTAGGCAATTATAATCTATGTTATTGTGCTAGCTGTATTGAATGAATCATGTCGCCAAGTATATGTGCAGCGCTTCAAAGCATCATCACTAGAAATCAAATAGATCATCACAGGTTCATTGTCACAGTCATACTATTGCTGTGGACCAACAGGCAGGGTGGCAGTCCTTGCCACAGGACCTCCAAGTCACTCAGGTAAGACTCGCTTGTCTCTTCGCTTTCCGCGGTACCCTCGGACGGGGAAGGCAGGGTCGTGAAGATGACGGCCGTCTGACTGCTTTGCCTGGCCATCAGTTCGTTAAGGATCAGGTGCTGCGCACGACTGGGAAGATCGTCGAATGACAGAGGAACAGACGCCTGGTTGGGGTATCCCGACGCACTTCTAGCCCCGGAGGAGGAACGTCGGGTGTAGATTGATTCCAACCGGTTCGGGAAGCGCGGAGGCGATGAGCTTGGCGCAAACATAATGGACGGGCCCGCGTTTTCCTCTGTGCTGACTCTTGCTTCAGGTATGGGCGAGGAACAGAACCGGTTGCTAGATGGTGAGCGGCTGATGGGTGGCCGGGTAAGCCCAACTTTGCTCTTAGGAGATGCCTCTTCGCCCGTAGTGATGATGGATGGAATATCCTGCCTGACTGTAATCTCCTGAGGTGACATTTGATCCGTCTTGGGCGAAGTCACGACTTCATGACTTTGTGAATTATGATCATCAGTCTCCGGTGATCCCTCTTCTCCGCCGTCATCGTCACTAGCGTACGGCTCAAATTCGCTATCACTGCTACTCTCGCTTGCACTGCTGTCGTAGTGAACGAGCGAATCAAGTAGGCGATGCGTCTTCATGCCTAGACTGACCCCTCCAAGCCCTTTGAAACTCGATATAGATCGCCGCCGCCGGGACTGGATAAATCTCCTCAGTCCACCAGCCATTTGACTCTGCGACCTTGTCATTTCGTGGCCCGATGCCCCACTCCAGCTGGACATTCTTTCCGGTAAGCTCGCGACGCTTAATTGGCCCGATGTCTCCTGGGCATCTTTCGAGTTATTGCGGAACTGCCGTAGCTCCTGCCACCAATCTTCATGCTCCAGCACAGCGTGAACACGGTCCTGGGCTTCCTTGGTATCCGGGCTCATGTCACCGTTGACAATGATGCGATACGCTTTCAAGTCGCCACATGCAAGCCAGAAGACTAGGACTTCCGCCTCGATTCGAAGTTTCTCAAGGAGAGCTTCAACCCTTCGGCGCTCGTCTTCAACGTCGGTCTCGTATTCCACAAATACCGCCACCCGAAGCTTGTACGTCTTCTTCCACGAGGGGACTGTGTTTAGAATGCATCCTAGCTGAAGAATGAGGGTGTATGTATCAAAGTTAGTCGTGAGGACATTTTGTTTGCTTTCATTGTCTGCGCCAAGCTCGGCCGACATCTGAATAGGCCACAGATCGATATACTTCTTCGTATGCTGTCCATCCGGGCTTGGAAGCTCGAGATCTTCGAATCCTTTGGCCACGGCAACATTAATGCGGAGCTTGAAGAGAAGATCCTCGAGTATAGTCACGTAGCTTCTGCAGCTCATAGAAAGGCCTTGCGCCTCATTCTCAGATGACTCGCCATGCGTCTCGTGAGAGTTGCGTTTGCTGTTCGTAGAGTCTTTTCTGTGACCGGGAAGCTGCAAGGCTTCAGCAAGCGATTGACCTTTCCGAAACTGATCGATAACCACGATGTTGGGCCTCATCCCTCCGAGTCCAGAATTCAGAACGACATTTCTGACGCCCCACTCGACACTCGGAGCCACGGCAATGTTGACAAAGGCCTTGACTCGAGAGTACTCAACCAACTTTGTCCATGCACTTTGCTGACGACGAGCTTCTGGCACTGCGGCAGAGAAGTCATCCGTCACAAGCACGTGGCCCAGCACAAACAACGCTCCTTTCTTCAGTGAGTTGCAGAAAGAGACCATCTTGTACTGTTCATCAAGATTGGTCACAAAAAGCAGAATCTGAGGCCGCCAGAATTTGACATGTTCCTGACGAAGGCGAAGCAAATACTTGCGCACCTGGTGGTAGATCAAGCTTTGGCTAACATCTCCCCATGACTTTGGAGGCGAGGAGTAATGAATCAGCAAGAACAGCACAATGAGAATGCCAACACAGCCGGTGGCATAGAGTCCATCCACGAAGAACATGCTGGCACCGCACACCAAAGTTCCGGCTGCCGCAGTCTGCCAGTTGAAGTAGTGGAAAGACGGTCGAAAATTGGGGGCGGAACCAATCTTCAGAAGAAAGCACGCTAAGTTCGTAACCAAAAATGTCATCAGGTACGTCATGGTAACAAAGGATGCGATCTGGTTGATATCGAAAAGCATTGTAAGCTGTGCGAATACAAAAGTCAAAATTATAGCATACACCGGGTCGTCACTCTTTTTGCTGCCTTTGCCGAAAAGACTCAGCCCAGGAAGAATACTGTCGCGCGCAATGGCCTGGAGGAGTTTCGCAGAACCGATGACTCCCATCAAGGAGGAGAAGAACGACGTTGCAAACTCCCCCAGCAGGATAACGACACCGGAAACATTGACCAGCTGGAGGACGCTGGTATTTTTGTAGAACGACTCTCTGGTTATTGAGGCAGCCATTGCCAGGATCACAAGCGTGTAAGTGACGAAAGTCAGTGCCAGTCCATAAAGCGTCCCCTTGGGTATCGATTTGCTAGGATTTTTCAAGTCACCCGACATGCTGGCACCCGCAAATATTCCGCCTGTAGCAGGGAACAAGATTCCGAAGAGGTCCTGGAAATTTTCTCGTCCATGGATTTGGCTACCAGCGGCACCCTTGGTGAGCCTAGGCTTCAGGTTCTCCAGCAATGTCTGCAGCCGAATGCCAGTGAATTCAATGTTCAACTTGGGATTACTGAAAGGTTTCATGGCAATCACGGAAACTGGGATGCTGAATGTCGCCACCAGTAGAATGAATAGCAGTCCGTTACTAGCCCTCGCGAACATAGAGCTCCCGGCCAAGCATATTGCAGTGCACAGAACCAAGACGATAGTTCCCCATAGATACTGCCACCAGAATCCTTCTTCAAGGAAATTGGCCCAGTTGCCCGATTCCGTGCCAAAATTCTGAGTGAAACAGTCAACGAGACCGACAGCATTCATGCCAGTATTCAGGACATAGCCTAGGTAGAATACGATTCCAATCGAGCCACCAAATTCAGGTCCTAGTGATCGAGAAATCAGATAATATGCGCCGCCTCCTCTTACGGTACCGTTCGTTGCGATGGCGGAGAGAGACATTGTCGTTACCAGGTTGATTGTATAAGAGGCAACAAGAAGTCCTGCGTTCGTCAACAGTCTTTCTAAATGGAGGAAGTTGTCCAAGACAGCATATACCGACCTAGCATCCCAAGTAAGCCAGCCTGCCCGAGGACGAACCCAAACCGAAGGAACATCAGGATACTGAGCACATTCAGCGTTGTCGGCACGAAGACTCCAGAAAATGTCCCAAGCTTATGTGCAGCCTCCGATGCACGATGTGCTGATGCATATTTTTCCTTCTTATCAGGACTCGAGTCTCTCCGCGGCCCTGCAGAGTGGGAGACATTGGCTGCCACATTGTCCGCCCCGGAATCCTGGCTCCCACTGTCTCGGCGGTGCCACCAACGAGAGACACTGCTGAAAAGACCGGTCGATGACGGATGACGCTGATTATCTGACCTTCGCGAAGAGGCATTCAGCGGCTCATAGGGACGGGACGAGAGAGTAGTCCTCCAATCGAGGAGCCTGCTGTTCGCCTCAGGAGATGCCTGGGCTGGGTCGTTTGGATCCAACCTGGATACATCCTCTTCAGCAGTTCGTGTGGAAAAGTTCGGCCTTCGTCTGGACATCGACCCCAACTTGCTTTTGTTTGGTCCGTCGTTCGTCAAAGACACAATCCTGCACCTTATCGCAGTGGGGTCCCCACCCCTTCAATAGCAGACTAGTCGCAGCCGAGGATCACAACAGAACGGTGTTTCAACAACGAAGCCTTAACCCAAGATAGAATGGCAACATATTATTATTATAGAGCGTTATACTTGATCAAAAGCATTGGTGCGTTCAAAGATTCGAAAATCCGGCAAAATCGAGCTCAGAATGAAGCAATTGACTTGGCATTGCTGCAAACCGCAATGCTTGGAAGATCGGCAATGACCTCACGCAGGGAAGAAGACAAACAGTGCAAATTCCTCGTTAGTCACCAGGCACAGTCTCTCTTCCGTTGGCTGTTGTTATACTCATCTACCTCTCTATATATGAGGAGAAACGAAGGATGGACACTAATAGGTACCACTCTTCATTGATATAACCATCAAGATATCTTTATACATTCAAGACATCGCTTTGGTGGAAAATACAGCCGGCGGAAAATACAGCCACTACAAATTACACCCTTATTTTACACCAAATCGCATTCCCTCGTCTACACTGCCTCACCGCTTGTGAACACTCGTCAAGTTGGCCGAGGCTTTGTACTTAGTTGTGCCAGGTCCATTCAACCTCTCAACTTCTTATCCTCTCATCTACTGCTTGTCTAGTCCATTGCGAAATGGCATCATCGGCGAGAACAGACAATGGGGAGGGACCATCATACCAACCAAATCGCTCGACTCCTATGTCAACTCCAGCTAAGCGTTCGGAATCTCCTGCAGCAGACATTGGGTCAAGACATGCCTCTATTGCACGACTAGCTTCGCCAGTTCCCTCCCTCTCAACCTCGTATTCATCCAGACAAGTACCTATACCAAACCAGTCTACGACAGGTAACGGACAGGAACTCGGGCAGGTGGATAATCCAGCCTCGCTACCAGGCCCAGGACAGTCCATGATCGCTTCTGCTCTTCAGGAAAGCCTTGGTCGCTCACCTCCGAGACTTGGAACTCCACCGAGACGAACCGACTCTCCCGCCTTACTGAGTCAGCCAGTGAGGTCAAATTATGGTTCATTTGACAATAAAATAGGAAGGGAAGGCTCGATCTATTCAAATGCGCCATATGAGGATCCTGAGGTTGTGAAGAGACACCTCGTGCAACCGCAGAATGCTGTTGAATCCAATAACTTCAGGGACATGGCAAGCAACGCCGACGATGAATTCTCTAGCTTGCAATTGCAGGGAGGAGACATTACAAGACAGGTTTATAGGTGGGCTGAGGATGCCGAAGCCGGGAATTCTGTACGAAAACATCTGCGAAGTAAGAGTTTCAGTCTCAGTAGACCTATGCCGGAGGAGGAAACCATGGACATCAATACAATCCGGGTCCCAGGAGGTTTCAGGAGAGACTTCATACGAAGGACTGCAGGCAGTCCTCATCCTGGAAGTACCGACGGCCGCGCAGGAGCGCCAGCGACTCATCATCAGCTCCATACCAGCAGCTTCCTAGAGTTTCTCACCCTGTACGGCCACTTCGCCGGAGAAGAGCTAGAAGAAGACGACGAGGTTCTAGGGCCTGATGAGTATTTCTCCTCAGAGCCATGGGACGAAGCGGAAGATAGAGAACCTGGAGAAGACTCCGCTTTGCTCCGACCAGAAACTCCTGGCCGAAGGAAGCGTAAACCAAAACCGCGCGGTGGAACGGGAACCAACACAACGACAGGAGCTGCTCTACTTCTACTCAAATCGTTTGTCGGCACGGGAGTTCTCTTCTTGCCCAGAGCTTTCCTGAATGGTGGGATGTTATTCAGCAGTTTGGTTTTGCTTGCTGTATCCATACTCAGCTTCTACTGCTTCATCCTTCTGGTCAACACCCGCTTGAAGATCGAAGGCTCCTTCGGTGACATTGGTGGTGCTCTCTTTGGAAAACATATGCGCCGGATCATCCTCGGATCTATTGTTCTCAGTCAACTGGGATTTGTCTCGGCATACATCGTCTTCACTGCTGAGAATCTCCAGGCGTTCGTCCTGGCTGTCAGCAAATGCAAGTCGTTCATCGACATCAAGTTCATGGTGCTGATGCAATTGGTCATATTTCTGCCTCTTTCGCTAATTCGTGACATTGGCAAGTTGGGTTTCACCGCACTTGTGGCAGATGTGTTTATTCTACTGGGGCTTATCTATCTCTATTACTACGACGTTGCCACTATCGTTTCACAAGGTGGCGTTTCGGATATCAAGGCATTCAACCCATCTACATGGACTCTTTTCATTGGCACTGCCATTTTCACCTACGAAGGGATTGGTTTGATTATTCCAATTCAGGAGTCAATGAAGGAACCTCGTCGGTTCCCAGGCGTCCTTGCCGGTGTCATGGTCCTCATTACCATTGTCTTCCTCTCTGCTGGTGCTCTCAGCTATGCAGCCTATGGCTCCGCGACGCAAACTGTTGTCATTCTCAATCTTCCCCAGGATGATAAATTCGTGAATGCGGTCCAATTTCTGTATTCTCTAGCAATCCTGCTGAGCACGCCCCTACAACTCTTCCCTGCCATTCGAATCATGGAAAATGAACTTTTCACTCGCAGTGGCAAGTATAACCCCGGGATCAAGTGGAAGAAAAACTGCTTCCGCTTCTTTCTGGTCATGATTTGCGCGTTTGTTGCCTGGGGCGGAGCGGATGACCTTGACAAATTTGTCTCACTCGTCGGCAGTTTCGCCTGTGTTCCTTTGATTTACGTATACCCGGTATGTCTCTAGCAACTAGAACTCCTGAAGTTTTGTCTAAAGTTACTGACTCTTGCTCCAATAGCCACTCCTTCATCTCAGAGCTTGTGCGCAATCAAGACGCCAGCAGATCGCCGATATCGCTCTTTCCTGCTTTGGAGTCATTTCCTGCATATATACTACTTCATTGACACTCCACAACTGGGTGAACTCTGACAACACCAAGCCTCCAGGATACTGCGATTCGTGATTCGCATATCGGTACAAGTTCCTATTGCGTCTTGTTCTTTTGGTGTACGAGACCTTTTTAGATATGAGACGACGATCCACTGCTGTTTGGCATTTTGATTAGAGAGCAAGCGATTCATATCATTCTTCTGTCATTATACTCCTTGGTCATGTTCGAGCAAGCCTGCATATGCACTTCTGCCATGTGTGTCAATAGTTAGATCATTACGTCACTAGAGTCTAGCAGCCTTGCGTATAGGTTGCTAGTAAGAAGCAAGATATTAGACCAATTGATGTGCTCAGACTCAGATTCGATAAGCACTGCAAAAAGTCTCCTGCGATCAAGCGCTCAGCGAGTCACGCTGCCTAGACTATCAAAAACAGCCAAGTAGTGGCAGTGCAAAGCATTCATTTCTGCAAGAAAGACTATGTACAGCCTCCAGGAGTACCCGACCATCTCATCCATGTAGCACAGTTGATCAGAGCCGAAAAGCTACTCTCTGCTGGATAGAAAACCGTCGGGCAATCCTCGAACGAGTCGACACTCAAAATCCATTTTTGCGTTCGTCTGGAGTAGGTCTAAGTACTGCTGAGAAAGAGGGAGATTATATAGGGACGGCATCCACCCGGGAGCAACCAAGAAACACGCGACTAAAACGGGGGAATCACATCGTTTATGCGCCGGCTTCGGTGACTTCCTTGCCCTGCTTGGCGGCCTCTGCGAGCTTGGCTTCCCGGCCTCCCCAGCTAGATTTGAGAAGGGCTGTCAGTTACACATTCGATAGTTGTGTTGAGACAAGATAAAGGCACAGGGGACGGCAGTGTGAAGGAGGCGAGTAGAGAACATACTTCCAGTAGTTCAGGTACCGGTATCCTTGAGTCATCTGAGCGGAGCAGTTGATGAAATGGCAGGCGAAGAGGAGATAGTTCTTGGGAGAGACAGCAAGGGCGTAACGCATGAAGGTTGCGGAGTAGACTGTGAGCGCAGCGGTCATCTGTCCAGAGATACTGTTGGAGTATTAGTTGAGGGAGTTGACTCGTATCCGCGCAGGAGGTCAAAAGTAGATGGGAGGCTCAGAGCGACATGAAAGCATTCCAATCCGAGATAGCGGCGTCTATGAATCATGTCGCGAAGCTCAGAAAGCTTCAACTGGGTGCGATCACGACGTACATTTCAGGGTCCTTTTGAGTGTCCATCACAGCAGCAATGGGGATACCAAAGTTCGAGGCAGGGCCCCAGAAGTCTGCATTGGCAAAGCTTCGTCAGCGATTCTCATGCACATTATCCCGTCAGAACAAACAGCATCCCGAGATCAATAATGAAAAGCCATCAGAAACCTGAATGCGCCTTCATGAGTACCGTCGCCGCCATCCAGGGCAGGCCGATCTCGGGCGAGAGCGTCAACGTGAGGCATTGTACGTACGTGTTGAGCAGACATAATCCAGAACCTTGTTGGAACGGATCTTAGCATTGATCGCCTTAATTGCAGCGGCCATGTTGAACAATTATTCGATGAAGCAGGGGTAAGGGTCCAGAGACAAGTATCCAGGCTCACTAACCAGGCACGTTTTGTTACCGTTCCCCGACTACGGAATCACAGCGCGGAGTTAACCGGGCGTCACGTGAGATCTTACTTGATATGACTACAGCTTCACGCGAGGTTGTTTTAAAGAAACATTTCAGAAGACATATTATGAATTGACTAGTGTATCGGTACTTTAGACATATTTAGCATTACTGCTTAATGATCCTAGACCAACTTCCTGGAGTTGATTCGTTCTTCGTCGGGCATTTCCAGCATCCGCACACGCCGCAACGCCGTTTGCCTGATAGAGATGTGTGCTGTATCTATTTGTCGGATAGACTTGAAATCATGGCGAGTCCTTTTTCCTTTTCCTAGCCTCAAAATCTTGCCGTGCTCAATGGACGGCCGGGATATTGTATGCCATCGTGCCGTTCCGGAAATCAATTAATCATCTACCACCAAAGCCTGGAGGAGGGAAACCCCGGCCCTGACCGGGAGGTTGGAAGCCTGGTGGAGGCTGGAAAGCACCAGCTGCATCGAACTCCGTTAGCAAAGAGTTAACCCATACTCAGAAGTACTGAAAACTTACGAGGTCCACCTTGAGGCGCAAATCCAGGTGGGGGACCGAAGCCAGCTAGGAACAGATGGTTAGTTTCGCGTTTGGAACGGGATACTCTTCAAAAAAGAAAGAACTTACGAGGTCCACCGGGGGGTCCTCCACGGCCAGCAAATCCCGGAGGAGGTGCTCCAGGGAATCCACCGGGTGGGAAACCACCGAAGCCGCCAGGGGGCGGTGGTGGTCCTCCAACGCCAGCAACAGGGCCTCCCAGGCCGACAGGAAGGCCTCGTCCAGCGGGCTTGCTTATTCCTGGGCCAGCAGCAAGAGTGGCAGCTGCAGCTGCACCGGGCGCACCTGTTCCAAGTCGCGCGGAGGGTTCGGCAGGAGGTGGGCCATCAACGGAGCAGGAAACGACGTGAGTACCGCGCACGATTGTGAGGCCGAGAGTCCGCTTCTCTTCCGCTTCGACCAGGGGAGCGTTCGACGGCCCAGCAGCGGGCTTGGACTTCCGCTTGACGCGGCGGAATTCTTCTGTGTCTGCGAGTACGAGGTTCATGTGCTATAAGTCAAAAAGCGTTGTCGTTAGCTACATGTATATGAGCCGAAAAACGCCTGGTAGAATTCACCTTATCGAAGGCGAGCATTTGTCCCGTCATCTGTCGGCCGTCGGTCAGGGTAATCCTCATCCGATAGTTGATCTGTAAGAATGTTAGACTCGGTGAGATGGGGAGCTCTAGAAGAGTGATCGAATCAATGACTTACGAGGTTTTGCTGCAAAAGAACGGAGTGTCAGCTATGAAATACCGCAGAAACATCGTCTTCACCAAGAGAAACGACCAAAAGAACGGCATGACGAAAACTTACCATCTTGCCCTGCTTGTTGGCGGCCATGTTGGCTGGGCAATGCGCACGAATGCGACTTGGGAATAAAACCAAAGAATGTAGTGAAACAGTAGAAGACGAACTCCTCTACTTGATAATTCACTTTTTTTGAGCTTATGCGCCCGTAGATAGGTAATGGAGAATCCAGCTAAAGCAGGCTCTCCAACTCTATCGTTCCGCTGGCACGGGAGTCGGAGTCGTGATCGAGACGCGGCTCTGCGCTTAGCGCCAAACGACCATGCCAAGACGCTAAGGGCTCTCGCTTCCCACACCAACCCACACATACACTTTTGCACACTTTTCGAACCTTCGATTCTTCCACTCAACGAGTCGATCAATCTAACGCCAAAAGCAGTCGCCATGGTATGTTACCAGTTTTCTCTACAAAAGCCCACTATAATCGGGAAGAAGGACAATTTTTTCTAACAATTTATCGCCATGCAGTCGGACGGAAAGGACAAGAGCGCAAACCCCATGCGCGAGCTGCGCATCCAGAAGCTCGTGCTCAACATCAGTGTCGGCGAGTCTGGTGACAGACTTACCCGTGCTGCTAAGGTGCTCGAGCAGCTGAGCGGTCAGACTCCAGTCTACAGTAAGGACGCCCGAATTCGATTTTGAATCCTTTCGATGCCGTTGGGACGACGAAGAGGGGGAGATGGAAGGAGCAAGAAGAACAATCAGAGTCATGGGAACAGTATGGCTGATAGGACAACTCTTTTCTCCAAACTATAGGCAAGGCTCGCTACACCGTCCGTACCTTCGGTATCCGTCGTAACGAAAAGATTGCCGTCCACGTTACCGTCCGTGGCCCCAAGGCCGAGGAGATCCTCGAGCGTGGCCTCAAGGTCAAGGAATACGAGCTGAGAAAGAAGAACTTCTCCGAGACCGGCAACTTCGGCTTCGGTATCAGCGAGCACATCGATCTCGGTATCAAGTACGACCCTGGTATCGGTATCTACGGTATGGACTTCTACTGCTGCATGTGAGTGGCCCTCAGTTCTAGTTTTGGCTTCCCCCTGGACAGCCAGTCAAGTCCATGGCTGACAATTGTGTCTCTTTCAGGACTCGCCCTGGTGAGCGTGTTGCCAAGCGCCGCCGCTGCAAGTCTCGCATCGGTTCCAACCACAAGATCACCCAGGCTGAGACCATCAAGTGGTTCAAGAACCGCTTCGACGGCATTGTCCGGTAAATATTCCGTCCATGGGTCTGCGGAGGGGCCGCTTTGGGGTTGTGTGTTTTATGATGAATCGATAAAAAAGGCGGGCGTTTCTCTACATTGCCGCTCTGCTCTGAAATGCTTCCTTCTACCACGGCATATGGATAGGCGTGCTAGGAATATCAATCCACAATTTCAAAAAACGCATCCACTTTTCACAATGAAGGCTTCACAAAGGGTGATGTTTTCCGCATAACCATTGTTGAAAAGTTTTACATGATGCTCCCATTAATCCATGGGCTGCTCATGGGATGTTTTGGCCGTGGGGTCGATGACTCTCAACCGAGTGCTTTCCGTCAAGGAACACTTTCGATTGTGTCATTATATGGGCTGTCCAAGGGTTGAAGTCGTATGACTTGGGTCACCCAACCCTCTTCTGATGCCAGTCTGGTCTCAGAACGGACACCCTTCTAGCACTGGCGTAGGCCGTCCATCGTAGGGTGTTCTTGCATTGTAGACGCTCGTAATGTCCCGTAGTATTCCGGCAACTCATCAGCATCATCACTTTACGGCAATTCTATATTTGACTGGGTATACGACAACCTGATTCCGGGAACGCCAATTGCATACAGCTGTTACCGTGTGCATGTTTAATAGGGTATGGGCTACGCTATAGGACATACAGCAATAGGCAATAATATTCAGGAACCCACGATATTGACTTGCCCTTTCTTCGAATCAGCAGCGCAATTATGCTGAACGAAACTGTAACAGGGAAGGCAGTGAATCTCCATTCTGATGACCGACTTCATAATATTGATATGCCCCCCTATGCATCGCATTAACATGTACAAGACAATTCCAATTTCCCTTTCTTTCCTTCACAGCCATATCGGCTCAATTAACGGCCCCTGGTGTACGTATTCCAGAGCTTTGAGAGGTAGCCACCCTGCTCAGACTGCTCCAGCCAACTCTGCCGACGAGCAGCCACGCTAGGATCAGTGGCATTCCGCTTCGTGCTCGTCAAGCCTTCAAAGAGACCTGTGCTTGACCGTCTCCGCTCCCCGCTCCCATTGCGTGGAGGACTTGCTCCATGGGCAGGAGTGGTGGACGACTCGGATGACGTTGAGTCCTATGCACGTTAGCACTGAAAGACACACAAACAGAGTTGATGACGAGAGGAATTGTCTGGACGGTAGTTTCTAAGAAACCTGTCAGACGTACATGTCTGTCGTTCACATCGGTAGAGGGTCTTCTACCGGGCAGCGTTTGGATAGCGCCGCCTCTAACCCAGACATTGAGCTGTTCGTAGCGGTCACCTACAGTTCCATGCCAGTGGCGTTTTGGGGGTTCGGAACCGTTGTTCATTTTGGATGATTGACTGAGGGTTGCGAGAGGTTGTTGTCAATATAGTGGTTCCTAGTAAGTGTGATGAATTAGGCAACGCTCCAGTATAAATCAACTCAGTGCTATTGTTGGTACTAAGAGCAATCAGAGCGAGGTGACCTAATAAATAGTAACAAATGCTTCAGGTAAACCTAATGAATAATCGAGAGGTCACACAACCCTCTGCAGAACAAATATGACAAATGGAGATACTAAAAGGATATCCCTCACTTACCAAACGTTGTGAAAGTTTGTCTGCTCATCTTCTGAAAGACCATGACTGATTGGTATATATATAGCCGACTCTGCCTGCCTGGCCAAGGGAGGCGTCTCCAGACGAGAGGGGTAAGCTACCTATCCTAGCTCCCCTAAAGCGTGAAACAAACCCTGATGCGATGATGTATCGTGCTCCTCCATTGCCTTTCCAGGAGCTTAATTGGGGCAAATAAGAAAATGGATTGATCCAATGGTGGCTCGCAGCTCGTCATCCTTCGAGAAATTGGTCTCGACGAAGGATTGGTACGATGATTCATCATCTTCGCAGAAGCGTCCAGGTCTGCCGATGGCAGCACTATGGACATGCTCTAGGCGAATCACCGCTGAGGGATGATCATCTATGCTCAGTCAGACTCCGGAATGTTCGGTTCAGCAGAGTGAGTCTCGATGTAAAAGACACTGCGGTCGTCGCGGTGATCTCGTGATGGCTGACGTCAAGATTCCTTCTTGATGCGGGGGAACTCGATCGATACATCCATGGAATCATATTGTAGGGAACGGACTCAACTGCGGATGGAGTAGACGTCCATCTGATAAAGTGATCCATCGCGTCTCATGCTGACTGATAATTGATACTGTTTCTGATTCCGATAAGCATTCATCAAACTTGATTATCTCAGATTGAATCAGGAGCATACAAACCCATTTTTGATGCCTCAGGCAGTCATCGGCCTCCAGTTCTGGCGCCGACGCGGAATGTTGTTACTTTCTCCGCACAGACCGGCCAAACTGTCGGCTGCGATGAAAGTCGACTCTGTCTGATCGGCCTCTCCCGTCGCTTTTGCCGATGAACTCACATCGATCTTGACTCATATCGCCTCGAGATTCGTTCGCTTGAGTGTATTCTTCCCTACTAGCTCAACTGCTCGGCTATCAGATGGCTTATCATCGCCATGCTGGGGAATCCCCACTGATCGGCCACGTTATATATAATAGTAGCCAGATGTTCTATCAATTTGATCCATGGAGGCAAGAAAACGCACCCAGGGCATAACAAAAACTGGGGCGAGAATCACAGATCGACATGGAAACCATTCGATATCCGTATGTGAAGTCTCTTGGCCACCGAGGCTATGTCCAAGGCCTTACCATTACATCGAAAGCTACAAACACTCCCCTTTGTCGCTTCTTTGGTGGCATTCGCTATGGCTTAGCTCCCTCTCAGCGATGGCGTAGAGCCCAGAGACTACCGTCGGACTACGCCTATGGCACCCAGGATCAGCCCAGTCAGCGTGACGGGATTTCAGGCGTCTGTCCGCAACCTTCGTTTATGAACGTTTCTTTTAAAGATGAATGGACCGAGGATAGCTTCCAGTGTAATATCTGGGTTCCTGTAGCAGAACCTCCTGAGAAAGGTCTGTCAGCTAAGACTCACGTACCTTGTTGAGCACTCTCCTGAAAGGTTGCTGACAGCGGACAGGATGGCCTGTTTTTGTCTTTATTCGTAAGTCTTCTATAGCTATCATAGGGACAGATCATACCCTTACCCTTGATGGATATTGTATTAACCCTTTCTACGTCTTAGACGGCGGCTTTCTCCAGTTTGGAACTCCAAACACCTTCTCGGCAGCAGCTCTTCTGGGTGAAACGGACTTCAATGCCATCATAGTCATGCCCGCATATCGTCTAGGAGTTTTTGGTTTCCTTTCCTCTTCTGAGATTGAACAAGACGCCGCCTCTGTAGGAGAGACTGTGGGAAACCATGGCTTCTGGGATCAGCGTCTAGCGCTAGAGTGGACCAGAGACAACATCGCTCTCTTTGGTGGCAACCCGTTGCAGGTCACCATATCTGGTTATTCGGCTGGTGAGTCTCCTTCATTTTTCGAATATCTATTCTCATCTTTTGTGTACCAGGAGCCTACTCGGTGTTCCATCAGCTGGCCTACGACCTACAACTCCCTCCAGAACAATCGCTTGTAAAACAAGCCTGCATCTGGTCCAACTCACCCGGCGTCCAGCCCAAAAGTGAAGCAGCAGCGCAGCTCCAATTCAACCAGCTCCTCTCCGCACTCAAGATCCCCACATCCCTATCCTGGTCAGAAAAACTGTCCCGACTCCGCTCTATCCCAGCCAAGTCCCTGCTCGACGCAGCAACCAGCATCGAGCTACACCAGTTCCGCCCAACAAGCGACGGCACCTTCATAGACCCGTCTCTCTTCAATACCTTGGACAACGGCACCTTCGCCCGCAA